GGGGGTCATCCACACCCGGAAATACGAGAGGGGGCCCAGAATAAACAAGGAAGCTTTCAAATGGTACCCCTTAATCTACAGAAGTTACCATTATGACTTTGTCTTCAATACCACCAACATATTTAACCTTAAAGGCACTTCTTGTTGGTTTACCGCAAAAGTCCAAGAATCAATCATCGAGTATCCGTTTTGGAATGAATAGTCATTTACCATATTACAAGCATTCCCTCTCTGCAAGGCTTATATGCTCGGATTCGGTCAGGTTCGTAAAGGTTCTTAATTTTTCAGCTCACAGACCCCACTCTTAAAAACATGAAGACTTGGGGCTGTGGCTAGTGTGGCGAGCAAACTGTTCCACTGCTTTATAGTTCTAGGTAAAAAGTTGTATTGAAGGTAGGTTTTCTTTTCGTAGGGAATTCTAAAGGATTTGGCGTGACTATTTCTAGAGTGTTTCGTAAGTGGTATAAGTTCTTTAGAAAGATCGACTTCAACTAGGTTATTTACAATTTTGTATAACATAATTAATCTTTGGTCTGCTCTTCGCTGCTTGAGACTACGCCAGCCAGGCTCATCAAGCATGATAGTGACACTTGCTTCACGTCTGTGGTCGTTGCAAGCAAAGCGGGGCAGCTCTTCTCTGTACCATCTCAATTTTATTTTGGTTCTCTTGGGTGAAAGGATCCCATATAGTAGACGCATGCTCGATTTGTGGTGGAACAAGAGTCTTGTATGCATTAGCTTTGATGTGTTTCTGGTGAATTTGTAGGTTTCGTCTGGGAAAACCTGTGGATGAATTAGCTTTCTTAACTATAGAGCATATATGTTCGTTCCAAGACAGCTTATGGTGTACAGTGACGCCAAGATATTTAACTGCATCTTTTTCCTTAAGGATCTAGTTGTGTAGGATGTAATCATGGGTGAGGGGGTTCCTGTTCCGTGTGACTCGTAGCACATTACACTTGTACGGGTGGAAAGACATCTGTAATCTATTTTCCCATTCTTCAAGAAGTTTGAGATCTTTTTGTAAGATGGCAGCATCGTTTTCGTTAGTCACAGCCATATACACAATAGTGTCGTCTGCAAATAGTCGAACTTTGGACTGTACTTTATCTAGGAGATCATTTATATATACTAAAAATAGTATAGGTCCAATCACGGATCCTTGAGGTACGCCGCTTGTTTCTGGAACCCATGAGGACATTTCCCCTTCGCATACTACTCTTTGTTGTCGTTGATGCAAGAAACTCTCTATTCTCTGTTCTCTATATTCTCTGAGTTTGCGTATTAACTTCTTAGGGGGTACTTTATCAAAGGCCTTCGCAAAGTCCATAACTATAACATCTGTTTGCTTATTGTCGCGGAGGTTCTTGTATAGATCTTGGTCAAATGTAAGAAGCTGGGTTTCGGTTGAACGCTCTGCTCTAAATCCACGTTGTAGCTTTTATAGTATGTTGTTACATTACAGGTGTTTCTTTATGTGTTTTGTTACTATGTGTTCCATTATCTTTGATGCAACACAAGTAAGTGAAATGGGACGATAGTTTTCTACATTGTAACGTTCGCCTTTCTTTAAGATAGGAGCTACATTTGCCTTCCTCCAGTCTTTGGACACCTCACCAGAGTGTAGTGATTTGTTAAAGATGACTGTGAGTATTGGGGCAACAGCTGTGGCAAGCTGTTTCAACACCCTCGGATGAATTTGATCGGGTCCCATAGATTTATTTGGATTGAGGTTTTCGAGTAGCTTTTGTACACCATCTGATGTAATACGAAGTTCATCAATATCAGGGTATGGCGTATCTGTTTCGGTGACAGGAGCTTCCAGTTCATCAGGTGTTGGATCTGAGAAAACAGACTTAAATCGTTCATTTAAGATTTCTGCTTTGTCCTTGGGTTTGTCCCATAACGTTCCTTTGTATTTCAGTGGGGTTACGCCGATTGAGTCTGTTTTTCTGTGTTTGATGAAGGACCACAGTTTTTTATTACCCCTCTTTGGCTCGTCTGATGTTTCAGGGAGGATGTTGGTTTCCTCATAATTCCAATAGGCAGCTCTAGTTTCCCTTCTTATCCTGTGTTTTAGACTACGCAGTTTGTTCTTAATACTCTCCTTGTTGTTACTCTTCCTCAATTGCTCGAGGAACCCCATATCATCAATGACTTGACAATGTTCTATAAGATCAATTCCAATTTTGTGAATATCTCTGTCCTAGCCGAAATTAGTGTAGGATTTCAGGGCACTAGGAGGTTTTCGAATAGACTCTCAAGACGCTAGTCATATGAACAGTCGTCCCTTTGTTTGTTGATAAGCCCTTGTTCTTATCGTTCGCGGTCAGAGGTCTTGTCAGTTAGGATAAGTCCCCGATAAAAAGCACATGGTTTTGTTCTTTGCTTAGTTTTTCTCTTCGACCGCGACATAATTTTGTGCAGAGACCAGGATGGCGGAAACTCTACCGATACTAACCTCTTCTCGTGCGGGTTATCGTGCTCATATTTAACCAAGACTCTAAACAAGGCAAGGGATCTCATGGAGAAGGAGGAACCCACCGAAATGGATGTCGTATCATCAAACAGCATCTTTGAACAACTTACGCGAAAGAAATCGATTCTCCAGGAAATAGACGAGAAAAACGCAGCACTCCTCGAAGAACCGAAAGACCTCGAATAGGAGATTTTTGACACGGAGGAAACCCAAGATGAAATACTAGAAACATTTAGCTAGATAAGAAGATTTATCCATCTCACATTATCTCATAAGAAATCTACTCAACCCCCTTTGCCAAGCTCAAACCCCTTTTATCAAGCAGCCTCGGGGGGGGGGGGGGGCCCCCTAAAATTTTTCAAAAACCTGAACCCCCCCCTAATACCCCCCCCCCCCCCCCCCTCCCCCCCGCCAAAACAAACCCAAACAACCCCCTCCCCAATTTTAATTTCCCCACTTTTTTTTGCCTCTTCCCACACCGTCCCAAGACGATGATCGTAGCTGTGGTGCGCGTCCTGGTTGGCATTCCCTATCTCGCTGCGTCTGTTGGTTCAGTCTTCTTTTTTTTTTTTTTTAGTCGGCCCCCCCCCCCCCAACCCCCCCCCCCCCCCCCCCCCCCCCCCCCCCTTCTCCTAACTTATCAAAAAAAACAACCTCCCCCCCCCCCTTCGCCCCCCCCCCCCCTTATTTTCAAGCCGGGGGGGGGGGGGGGGGGGGGGACCTCTAATAGTTTGCAGAACACTGAACCACCCCCTAATACTCCGTCACCGCCTGTCATCCCTCCGTCGAATACTAACCACAGTAGCCGCCTTCCTAAGTTGAATTTGCCAACTTTTTCTGGCAATCTCCTCAACTGGTCCACTTTCAGGGACTCATTTGAAGCTGCAGTTCATTCCAATACAACACTGGGCGCAGTACAGAAGTTTAGTTACCTGAAGGCAGGGAATGCATCAAGGGCTATAGCTGGTTTTCCACTCAACAACATCAATTACGAACAAGCTGTAAAACTACTCAAGGAACGTCAATCAATTAAGAAGTTCGCAACTGTTTTATAACACAATGGAAAATCATGTCAGAGGTCTTG